CAGCATGGCTGGCTGGGGAATTCTGGGAGTTGAAGTCCACACATCTTAAAGTTGCCAAGGTTGAGAAACACTGGTGTAGTTACTCTGCATTAAAAAATCAGATATTCCAAGGCGGGCTTAGAATTCATCCCAGCAAGTTCTTTTTGAATTATCCGGTCCAGTATATGTGCTGAAGGAATGCTATAACATATGCTGCCTTTAGATGCCAAGTATTTTCATTTGTAGAATGAGTGTAACATGCATTTAATACTCTGACTAAGTGTATTGTTCAGGTGCCAAAAAGAAGAGGAAGCAGTCACAAAAGCAATTAGTTGTCAGATGGAGCAGTTAAAGATTTATTTCAACTAGGGAGCCCGCAAATGAGAAAGTCAATAATTGCTAGCTTCCTGTGTGTCTCCTCTTGAAGCTCTTGTGCAAAGGAAGCAATTACCTTGGATATGCTGTGAAGCCTCCTGGTGTTTGGTCCTGATCCTAAATCCTTCCCAACTTGCTATCTTTTGGAAGTCCAAATCACGCACAGTGCTGTAGCTGAGCATCAGACATCAACCAACAAGGTTTTATGAGGCACTTGGCTATGAAATTATAAAATCACCTTTCTATTCTGATTTTTAATGCCACCCGCCCCCATCCAGCCATTCCTATTTTCCCAGACAGATGCATCTTTCATCTTCCCAGGATAAATCTTTTGTGGATCTCAACATACCAACTTCTTGTACAATGACTAGAGAACTGTTCCTTGGTGATTAACAATCTTCAGCAGCAGCAGGTCCCATGCCAGCTGTAGGCAATCTCTTAGCAGTTGCTAACTGGCAGCAAAACATGTATATTTAAGAAAATTATATGCCACTTTTCTATTGAAAGAAGAAAAAAAAAATCAGTCTCTTAGGGTGACTTCTGAAATAGCCATGAAAACAGTAATTAAAATGTATTTACAACTAGCCAAAAGAAGCCTCAGAGTTTAAAAAAAAAAATGCAAAGAGCCCAAATAAGCAGTGGGTAACTTATGCAATAACCAAGGTAAAGGCTTGGTTGAAAGAGAAAAATCTTTTGTAGCCAGCAGGACATGGTTAAAGAGGAAGGTCCCATAACTGCTTGAGGTGGAGAATTCCATATATTGCTAGGCATAAATATCTGGGATTTAGACATGTGAGTATAAACCTTTCATCAATATGAGTTAAAAATAGCAGGGGTAGGTTTTAGTAATACCTACACTGGTCTCCTGAAGCCCATCAGATGCACCATATTGCTTCCTCCAAAGCCAGAGTTTTAACTCCAACCTCAAAGAAGGACATGGAACCTAGAAATCTCTTCTCAGTGACTCACCAGCTTTGGAGGCCAGGTTTTTCCCAAATGCAAAGAAGTCCAGTGCTAGAAAGAACCAAAGAGATCCCATGGATCCAAAGACCTTTCTCCTCTATCATTTCTCCATTCTGCTAGGAGGAAGCCGGGAAGGCATTGGGGTGTCAGCATTCCAGGGGTGGGGCCTTCCACATGTGCTTTTGGGTGTAATGGACTTCACACAACCAGGGAAAGAGGATGGTGGTTTGCAAAATGTTACAGGGCACACTTCTCCCACATCAGGGAATCGAGTAGCAATCTCACCGCTGCTTCCAGAGGCATTCAGCAAGAAGATCAAAGAATCCCCCCCTGAACCAACTTATAAAGTACAGTACCCAATTTCCAAGTTTCTGTAACCCACTTCATTGACCAGTTTAATAAATCTGCAAGAATCTAGCCTTCTTGGCTGTTAGGGGCTTGCCACTGAGTTTCTTATGAGTTTTTCAAAATGCATTTGCTGTCAGCGGAAGCTGATTGGCTGCCTTGGACCAGCCCTATCCAACTCACGGGACTGAGGTGGGGAAGAGTAGGAGAAAATTCCTTGTACCGTAATTTCTGCTTCTAGAGGAAAAGTAGGATATAACTCTAAGAACTTGATTAATTAAAATAAAAGGATGGCCCAGTTTCTTATGTGATTTAGGAATGTGTTCCTTTCTGCTGAATTTAGCTTTAGTTTGACACATCTCACGAACATCAAGGTGGGAACAGCTGAACTTTGACTCTTGATAGTCACTTTTAGCTGAAAACTTTATAATGAGTCTTCGTCTTACAGTGTTACAATAAACTCAATTATTTACAGCCAATTAAGCTATATTAGAAAGCTATAACCTCCATGACATCTCTAAATCCATGGTTTATTCATTTGTATTTTATTCTTTCATTCTTTTTTCATGTCCTTAAACTTTTTAAAGGGAAACTATTTTATAGCCGTTCTAAGCAGTTTCTGAGCTTGAATGTTGGGTATGTTTTAATGAAGGATTTATAAACCATATAACTAAAAAACAAAATATTCATCCCCTTTTTCCATCTGGTCATCTGTCTATCCTTCTCTCATATAGACACTTCCACAATAAATCTGGCCACAATGTCATGGACAGTTGGTATGACAATCCCGTGTCTAGTTATTCTCCCAATAACAGAATCATGACCAAAGAACGCAGGAAAAGTTTCCAAACTGGTAAGTGTTATGGGTTGATCAGCTTTGGTTAGGTTGGTGGTCAAAGAAAGCTTTGATCAATGGGAACTTGTGTATGGAGATGCCCTCCTGATATCCAGGGATATGTCCTTTGAAATATACCCAGCACCAAATTGTGAGAAGACAACATCCTCTGACTAGTGAAGAGGGATCCGGAAACCCATTTGCACTCATTGTCAATTTGAATTTTAGAAAGAGAACAAGCCATTTCTAGCTAAAATAATAGAAGGGATGAATTGCTCACTTTAGGACTGTTGTCTGCTTGTGTGTTTGTGCACGTGTGCATTTTTTACTCTAGTTTTTGGCTCCTTGCTCTTCCAAAGGAAATTAAGCTGTTTATGAGTGGAAAACATGTGGCCTTCCAAATGAGATCAGGCTGCTAGTTCCCATCAGCCCTGACATTGTCCACACTGCCTGGAATTGTTAAGAGCTGGAGTCCAACTAAAACTAGAAATGTTCTGATGCAGTAACTGAAAAGGCTATTATAGTTCCATGCTGCATCAGTAGAGTGTACCGATCATCATCTGTTCTGTTTCGCCTGGGCCTCAATTGGAGCACTGGGTCCAGTTCTGAGGGCCGTCAAATTGGAACATGTTCAAAGGAGGACAACAGAGATAATGAAGAGACTTCTAAGGAAAGGTTGAAAGAGCTCAGTATGTTTTACCTGGAGAAAAAATAAAGAAGTGTTATTATGTTTGGATAAAACCTTTAGCTGGACCATCCAAAAGGATAGGGAAAAAGCATACAGGTTTCTGAATTTTGCAGAACGTTTACTCAGGTACAATGTTGCTAGAAACCTGTGATAGGAAAGAAGCCAGACCATCTGAAAATGAGGTCAAATGATTCAGCCATGGGATCCTCTCTTCACTATCTGTGTTAAGGAGGAGGTTGCAGACGGACTTCATTAGTTAGCGAGAGGTTGATCCGTGTCAAGTTACAGCTAGCATTTAGCATCAAAGAAAATGGTACCCTCACCTTCTCTAAGGACTGTCATGGGGACAATAGAGGAGATTTGTATACGCAAGTGACTGGGTTCAAAGTTCAAGTATTTTCAATAATCTAAGCTTTTTGATAGAAACAGATTGCACTGCAATTTGGCAAACTCTGTGTTACAGTTTTTAAATAGAAGATTGTTTATGAAGGATGTTGTATTACAGGATTTCCTTCATCTGTAGGGGGTGGGAGTTAGAATAATCATTTCAGTGGTTCAGTCTGATGAGGACTTAGATCCTCAGTTTCCAGAAAAGTCCAAAAGGAGGTATTAATTATCATGAAATTTTTCTTCCCTGCATAACCCTTCTTTTGACCCTTTCTATTTTATTTTTATTTTTAGCCTAGCCCAACCATCAATTTCTTCTCCCTTAATTGCATTTCTGTCTCCATAGCATCTTCAGACACCAAGGAGGAGGGCTTGGAAGCACAAATCAACAGGTTAGCAGAGTTGATTGGAAGGCTGGAAAACAAGGTGAGCAGGGCTATTGCTCTTTTTAAATGCATTGTCTTGCAAAAGACAACTGATAACTTTGTGAGATGGCTTTGAAGGTTTTTTTTTTTTTTTTGATGGGGGGGAGAGATACTGCTAATTATCAAAAGTTTATGTATATGCTAGAGCAGTGCTGGCTGGGGAATTCTGGGAGTTGAAGTCCTAACATCTTAAAGTTGCCAAGGCTGAGAAACTCTGTGCTAGAGTATTCCCTGAAAGAAGGTTTTGTAAATATCAGGCTCAGATGATTGCTTTGGGATGCTGTGTGACTCTTTCTTTCCATTTTTATTTCAATATGCTGCTTTTCAGGGATTAGTTCATTAAAGTCTCCGTGGTGGAAATCAGGCTTAACTCCTGGTGTCCCTCTCCCACCACTGTTCCCCTACAACTGGTATTTGAAGAAAGGGCAACACTGAACCTCAAAAATAATAGCCATGGATAGGCTTGTCCTCCATGAATTTATGTTATCCCCTTTAAAGCCTTTCAGGTTAGCGGCCAACACCACACCTTGTAGTAGTGAGTTCCCCAGGTTAATTATGCTCCCAGTGAAGAAACGTTTCCTTTTGTCTGGTCCATATCTTCTCCCAGCCAGTTTCATTGTATGATCCCTCATCCTAAGGAGAAAGAGATAGAACTTACTACTGTTCATTTCTCTATGCCATACATGATTGTATGTACCTTAAAATGTCCCCTTCAGCCACAGGAGGTAGAGAAATCCTCTTCCCCCGCCCCCAATTGGTTTCTCTGTAACCAGTATTTGGAGGCATGCTGCCAGCTGGCCAAGAAGTGTCAGCCTAACACTTATTCTTCAGGACCAAGAAGCCTTGACAGACCTGTCCTCCATGCAGTATCTGTGGGCACCAGAGCATCCACTTTATCTTCAAGAGACCCCCTATACACAAATAAAGAAAAAGAAATGGTCACATTCACAGGTTTGTAAAATCTCACAAGATAGTTTAAACTGAGATTAGGGAAGTCTTAGAAGAGTTTGGCTTCTGTTCGCTGGGGAATTCTGGGAGTTGAAGTCCACCCATCTTAAAGTTGCCAAGGTTGAGAAACATTGCTCGAGGCCATAATCTCACAAGATAGTTTAAACTGAGATTAGGGAAGTCTTAGAAGAGTTTGGCTTCTGTTCGCTGGGGAATTCTGGGAGTTGAAGTCCACCCATCTTAAAGTTGCCAAGGTTGAGAAACATTGCTCGAGGCCATTGGGTGAAATGGAATGATGGTATCTGAGACCAGAAAGGGTTGCTGATTCCTATTTTATGTGCCAGTTAGGGGCTTTGCCAACTCATGCATTATCTGTTGCTGTCATTCCAAATGATTTAACTGAGCTCTCAGCCACAAATTTCTGTCAGGCCTCCATTTGTTCATTTCTGAAAAGTAGAAGTTAATGTAGGAGAAAATTATTCCAGGGCTACATGTCCCAGATATTTTACTCCCTGAGGTGAAGGACAAGATGGTGCCTTGTTCCTTTTAGTGAAGCCATGGAATATTGATTCTTCTTTTAACATTAGGTTCATGCAGTAGAAGAAACGGTACTAAAAGAAAGTTTGAAGGTACTGAAAGTTGCTGATAGAACTGGGAACATTAGGAGCGAGCCCCATAGTTCCCCCCCCCTTTGATTTTCTGGTGTACGTCATCTAATGTGATCAAGGAAGCTTCTACCACAAATCCAAGTTCAAATGCATAAGAATAAAAGCATTTAAGTGCTAGATCAAGGCAAGACTTTTTTTGGTTTAACACAGTGGCTGACCGAGTGCATCCAGAAAGTTCATAGGCAACACATGGGGGTGATGATGCTCTCCATGGTCATTCTCCAACAGCTGCCATTTCAGCTAAGTTACTGACAATCATATGGCTGTCTTGGCCTGGACTCCTCCCTGAATGTGTCTAGTCTTTTATGAAAACAATCTAACTTGGCCACCGTGTTAAATGAAAATACATTCCACTGTTTAGCTCAGGATTGAAAGGACAGTGAAAAAACCCTGTTCTTAAGTCTTCCAGCATTTACTTCAGATGGATGACCCAAGTTCTAATAGTGGAAGAGGCAAAGTAAAATTTCTCGTTGTCCGTATTATTAACAACATAGATGTTCATTATTTTTATCTCTTATCACATCCCTCTCTATCTGCCATCATTCTATGCTAAAAGGCCAGGTTAGAATGGATCCAAATAATGAGAATCTTCCAAGAATGGATGTTGCTGAAGAACTTTGTTTAAGAATGGTGCTTAGGAAACAGTGGTGATTCTTCAAAGTCATCCAATCTAAATTGGACTTTTTCAGAAGTGATTTGCCTCTTTTAGAAAGTAGGGAATTTCCATGTCATAGAAAGGCATTCACATGTAATCAACCAATTCCTGCAGGTTTCACAATGAACAAGAGTCTAAAGAAAAAGTGGTTGATCTCAGCCTTCCACATCCTAGTCAGTAAAGCTGAAAGGTGTTTTGGAAATTCTGATGGTTCACAGTCCAACTCTGATGTTGTTGGTTATTTAGAATTGGTCATATATGAGCCATTTTTCTGAGCACAGCCACCAAGAAACACTCACCCATGAAATAGTGTGTTTAGATCAGGCAAGAGAAAAGTGCCTTGCAATGCTTTATAGGCAGAATGAATGTTGATTAAGATCGGGAACTCGTGAATTGAAAATGTTTAAACATCCAGAAAATCTCTGCATAATAATGAGACACAGTGTTGTCCTTGGATTTCTTAAAGCAGGAAGTGAGAAGATAGAAAATTACAGGGAACAACACACTGCACTTAAAAGCCATGAAAACATCATTACGCAAGGACACGAACCGTTGGCTAGAGGAAAAAGCATGAGGTTGACATGAAGGCCTTGCATGGAATATTGATGGAGAATGCAAAGTTGGGCACCCTCATAAATGTTTCTAAAATGGGCGGGTGCTACTGAAATTCTTTCTCCTCATCCCCATCCCTGTTCTCACCCAAACATATTAACCTAGGTTTATTCTGAAATTTTAGAGCATTTCATTACTGCTATTATTGTCTAATTCAAAAGAGCATGATATGGAGCATGCCAAATAAATAATTAAATAGTCTCCCCCAGTTTGCAAAGTACTGGCTGGGAATGATGGGAAATATAATTCAGCATTTCAAGAGAGCAGTGGATGGGAAAGGCTGCAGAGTTTAGGAAAACCTCCATGATGGCACGTGGAGCCAATGTGGGTTAAGATGTTGGAGCTCTGAGCCACTGGGGCTCAGTGGGCAACTCTGAGCCAGTCACATCTTCTCAGCCCAACCTATCACACGGGGTGGTTGTGGGGAACAACAGGAGGGGGTGCTGTGTATGTTGCCTTGACCTCCTGGAGGAATGATGGGTATAAATCTAACAAACAAATAACATTGAAACACTGTTAGATGGTGGAATGTTGTAGTCTGTTTTCCTATCACCAATAGCAAGCTTTCTATCCCGACTGTTGTATAATATGGAAGGATGATCCAGGATGACTCAATCCATATCCAGCCTGCAAAGTTGTAATTATCAGTTGGCTTCTAGGTTCACTCTGGGCAGGATTTGTATATGTAGCCTTTTTTTGGCAATTATTTCTTTAAATAGAACAAAAGAAGAAGAAGGAGAAAGGAGAAATGAATACATAGAAAGGCAGACATGAATCTTATGCAAGTATATATGCATATAGAATTTAACAATATTCAATAAAAGATCACCATATGTTGTTGTAATCGTCCATATCAAATAATGTCAGGTCTTTGATTTACTCAGTAACTGGGACTATCTTACCAATGTTGAAGGATTAGTCTCTTAGCAATAAGACGGGGCAGACAACCTATTTCCATTGTCCAGCCATGTAAGAGGTATATAATTGAATATGGATATCCAGAATATTGAAATGGATAACTTTGACCCTTTCTAGAATGTCCATGGTTATGTTTACACCACACATTAAGTTTGATTCCTAAATCAATCTACTTGTGGGTTTACACAACGCTTGTGATCATCAACCATTAGTGTAGTGTTGCATATTAAAGCATTAAAAGATTAATATCAAAATTAATCAAGCCAAGCATGTCCTATGTATGCCTGGTCTTAAATTCAGCTCGATAGGAGGGCTGTATGAATGCAACCTGTAAATATTTCCCCCCGTTTCCAAAACGTAGGCTATCGGAATGGGCAATAGTGGATTCATAATCAGGAAGCATCTCCACTGAATTGTATAAAAATACTGTATTTTTATTGTATAGAAATACAATTTTATATTAGGGCTGTGCTGATTCAAAGGCAACAAGATGGTCTGGTGCATGCAGGGATTTGCATAGCATCATTGGCAGCTCTTTAAAGCAGCTACATCTTTTCCTAGGTACTACCTGAAGCACTTTTCTGAGCACAATCTCAGAAAAAGAGGTACCTGCTTTAAAGAGTTGCTGGCAGGTGGTATGTGAGCCCTTGGGGGCCTTCAAATTCATCCAAATTCATAGATCCATATAGAGTGGTCCATTCTGCCTTTCCTTCTGCCCTCCTGAGACACTTCTTGGAAATGATGCTGGCATGAAAGAGACACGTGACAGCAAGCTTCAGAGCCTGGCTTCTGGAATGCTTTCCAACCCTTTGACCAACAATGGCCATTGGAAGCATCTGTAGTTTTCTTCTGTATAAAAAAGGAACAAGTTGCTTCTGCTGATCTATGTTTGCATTTTCTCCTTGGGGATTAATCAAGGGGTGTGCATATGGAGTGTGCGAGGTTCTAACCAGGGTGGTTGCATATGTGGGTGTGTTTCTGCTCTTCCTTCAAGTTGCATCTGTATGTTTGTGATTGTGTGCAGGTGTACACTGGGAGCCACAGGATGGGCTGCTATATTGGTATGTGAGAAAGACCTTGAGAAATGGGGCAAAGTAATGCTGCCTGGGGAACGGTCAGATAAGAGAGGGCATAGCCCACAGCTGCAGAATGGGTGAAGAAACAGGCTCAGAAGAGACCCCCCCCAACTTCTCAGGTGAT